AGGGGGCGTTGAATGTTCAAGAGAGTTTTTAATTTTGTAGCGGTTCCTAGTAGTAGAGAGGCTCTGTGGGAACCACAGAACATATAGTAGCAAATTGTGTTATTTGCATGCTATGCTAGATGCTTGCTTAAAATAAACAGTCTGCAAGGGTCCTCAGGCGATGATCAGGGTTGTTTGGGGATTCCTACACCATTTGTTATTAAAGTAAACAGACCAGTTTAATGCTGTCTAAATCCAGTATATAGAATACTTGAAACTGTTGGTCCATGGGAGTTAAAATTATAGCTGTAGGGTGAATACCCTGTTATTCTGGTATAATAGAAGAAAAGCTATTTCCTTTTTATTAAAACTGTAGACTAGAAGATGAAAAGTCACAGAGAATCTTCTAGAGTATGGTGCCTCACCATCTATATAATCACTTGGAAGTTGTCAGAGTGTGTTCCGTAAACGGTGACTCTCAGCTAAAGGTCACTTTGCTTGGAGTTGTGTTAAAGATGAACTACAAGTACATCTGAAAAATTGCTAGTGTGTCAGGGAGTTGAAAGATTAGCTGCCATCTAAGACAGAGAACATGTAAACACAGTAGCATAAGTATAATTGAATGGGGGAAAATACACACACACACTCACAATTATGTGGTATGCCCAAGTAAGCATATGCCATGACAACATGAAAGGAACTACATTTTGCCCAAATCTGATTCTGATCAGAAAAACAGCCTGAGAACATAACACCTTTACCTGCTTTTGAGGGAGGAGTCAGTGCAAACCTGGACTGTGTTGAGGTGGGGCCCCCAGAGGAGGTTCTTGAGGTAGCAGGGGTTTGCGCCTGTGGGCCTGAAGGGACTCAAGTCCTTTCTGATAAAAGTTGATAAAGTAGATACATTCAGAAGTGGGGTTCATATATGAGACAATGCCTTTTTCAGACTAGTGAAAATTTTGAACTTGCAAGAGATAAATTTAGAGACCTGATTTTCCTTGCTTTAAGATTTCTCTTAAAATTCCTTTTGACAGAACCAGTGTAAAATTCCTTTTAGCCTACAGGATTCATGATTCTGAAATGCACACAGCAGTTTCTGTGTTCCGTGGTTGCTGAACAAAGATGAGAGAGCATTTTGGTTGCTGTTTTTCCAGTCTGTGTGGGTATTATGGTAAACACCCTTCTAAGAAGGAAGGGGTCTATATTAAAGCAAAATAGGTAACTAAAATTGGTCCATTGTGCCAAAACCACATTTTAAAAAAGAAATGTGCTGAATTGGAATTCCAGTAAACTAACTTGAACACAGAGAACAGCAGAGTAGGAAAGATGAGTGTCATTTTAGTTAATGTTGCACGGAAGTTGTGGTCTGTTGAGCCAGAAAGGGAACATTTAGAAACTTGGAAAGAACATCCATTTTTATTTAACTCACACATGCAAGTAGAAGTTTGTTTGTAGTGCTCATAAATAAAAAGTTCACGGTAGATAAGTGTCCTTAAGAGAGTGATTAATAGAAGTCAGACTCGCAAAGCATGTCTTTGAAGATGAACTTGGAAAAGCACTTCCTGGGCCACTGCCTGCACTGCCCTGGCTCTACAAAGTCACCCGTGTTTCTGCACGGAGCTCCTCGTGTTCTGCGTGGGAAAACCTCATTAGTGACGCTGAAGCAGAATAATTTTGGGTTACTTGGAAAGTGTTTAGTATTTGCATAAGTGGTAACTGAGAGGTAAAGTTCCAGCAATGTTTGATAGTTGTTTACAGCAGAACTGGGAATGAGGGTGGGGTTTAAACGCAAGAACCAATTAAAAAGTACACCCTAGGTCTATATATCCCCCAGAACAAACTCTAAATTGTGCATCTTATTTGGGGGCAATAAAAGGTTACTTGTCATGTGTTTTTTGTGTGCGTGTTAGGGTTTTGTTGTTGTTTGGAAACGGGAAATATGTTACTGAATGTATTATGCTTTAAAACTGCTTTTTTACAATTAACTTTATATATTTTTGTGTTAGGACTATAGACTGGTGTATACCATAAAATCTGCCATTTTAGTGTTCCTCTTTAGTGGGGTTTTTATTCTAAAATTGGTTTATGTGTATGTATAAAACAGATTAGATTACAATTACCACTGAAAGCATCCATATTTAAATTTTGTTTGATAAAAGGATTATCAACTCATTTCCTATGGTAAAAGAATTATGAGATAAGAGAAATGTTTCCAAAGAAACAATAAAATCATGATTTGTGTTTGAAAGTTGTGCCTTTTGAAGTTTTAAAGCAGAGAATTTGCATAGTTTTAGAAATCCAGTGAGATCGCAG